CCTCACCAGTAAGCCAGGGTCAGAGTGGGCTTTTTTATGAGAAGAGGAGGAGATGTGTGTTTCTATATCCCAGCTGATCCCTTCAGAAAGTTTCTCATAGGCTGCCTTAGAGATTGCCCTAAGTGAAACCATTCCAAGGAAGCTACTTTCTTGTCCCATTTGCTGACACACAGTTTTTCACATTTATTAAACGTCTAGGTGAAAGATGTGAAGTCTTGTTATCCACCCTCCCCCCTCCAAACATTGTGTCAAATGACGAAGTCCTAAGAAGTGGCCATGACATTGGGGAAAATTCCAGTTTGCTCAAGTGTTTGGGCAATAGTTGCTGTGTCTGCACAGCAAGAGTGGATGGGGGTGGGGAGAGGGGACATGAGGGAGGTAAAGCAGTAGGTGGCATAACTGGCTAGTGAATCTAATTAGAAAGTCTAACGTTAACGAGGGCAAAGGTGTTTGTGTCCTTCCCTTCCCCGCTGACTCCAGAGTTGGCCTACTCACATTGGTCACAGAGCCAGCAGAGACCTGAGCAATTAGTTGTCTGGGTCAGTAGGCAAGTAGATGGGGTCTTCATCTATGTGATTTACAGGTCACCAAACACCCTCTCTGGCTCAGTCTTTCCCTCTCTTCCCTACCCTGAAACCTCTACATTTCACTTTGGCCCCTTCAGTTAATTCTTATAAATGTGCATTTTAGTAGCAGCCAGGGCCTCTATTGGCCTTGGACCAAATTGGTTGACCAGAGGGGCTTCTAGGCTGGGAAGAGAGTGTCAGGGACTGGGGTGTTCCCTGAGTGAGGGACCTGGATAAAGATATTAGGGAGCACCCAGAAGGGGTGAGGGGGCACAAAATGGGGAGTGAATAGAGGCCGAGAGTGAAACTTTCCTGACCACGTACTGCTGCTCAGGGGGCCATCCAGTGTAGACCATTCACAAGGCACTGGAAGTTAGACAGGCTTCAATTTATCTAGCACTTACCAATGTGACTTTAATCTTTACTTTGCATTTAAGGCCAAAGAAGTGGCTGGCAGGAGCTCTCCTGGAAGCCACCACTAAGTTCCTGGAGTATGCTTTGGGGTCAGTCAAGGATGGCTCTGTTATTAGCTCTCAAGAAAGGCCATGATTTCCCTGAGTTGGAAGTTCTTGGTTTGAATTATGGCTCTGCCCCCACCACCTGTGTGTCAGGGTCAAGTTCTCCAAGGCTCTGTCTAGGTTAACCTATTTTGTCAAATGTTTATTTACATGCCAGGCACTGACTGCATGGACCCAGGAAGGGGTGCAATCCACAGATTAAAGGCTGCTGTCCTTGCCATGCCATTTTCTATAAAAATGATAGCCTCATATCTTTTTGACAGGCATCAAGTAAGAATGCACCATGTAACACTGCATAAACTAAACAGCTCTACAGAAATGAAAGATTTTTCATGATATTGGATCAAATTAGGGTTTCCTACATAGTTATTTGAGATGTGAGCATGTAGTCTATTTAAATAAAACTAATGTCCATGGTCATTTTTCTTCATACTTTGCAGATTGTTTTTAAACTTCTGCCATACCTGGGAACTTGGGGAAGTTACATGGGGTGGCTTGTGTAATAACAATGATTTTTAGTTCTGTATTTGGGGCTTTCACATTTGGGGCCTTGCTGACCCTGAAGAGACTGCTCCTCTCAGGGTCAGCCAGTTCCTAGGGATAGCAAACAACTCACCTTCCAGTGTATCTTTCATATGGAAAGTAACCAATGCAGAGCCTAAGCCTGCCCCACCGCTTCTGGCTCTCAAACTATCCCCCCACCCTAGAGTGATTACTCCACTCTGGCCAGGACCAGACTGCTAGGGGCAGCCTCTATAGCACAAAGCCCTGAAATTATGCACATGAGCCAATCCTAAACCTGCTGACTCTGCCTTGCCTGTGCTTTCCAGCAGAAACCACAATAGAGGCTCTTTGTCTGTATTTCTCCTACTTCTCCTCACTATGCTGGTGCTTCCTTATGTGGCCGTGTGTGATGTGCTGTGCCCACTGGATCTGTGTACATAGACCTCTTCCTTCACGACAATCATTGCCATGTCTGCATGTCTTATCATATTTGATTGAAAACAAATTGTGGATATGCTTAAAACAGCTTGGTATGTGGGTGCCGGATATCTGATGTACACAGATATAGACATTACATACCAATGCCAGGGAAGGGACAGGCTTATGCTCTGCATCTGGATATATAATTTCAACACAGGTTTGTGGAAAGCTGGAAAGTACTGGGGCTGAGCATGAATTCAAAGTTAGAATGGGTATGAATGTGGGTACCCCCCCCTTCCCACTTGTGCACCTTTGACTTCACTTTCTTATGCATCAATTTCCTCTACTGCTAATATGAGATAATGCCAATAGTATCATCTCATAAGGTTCTTGTGAGGATTCAATGAGATGATCAAGGCAAAGACTGAGCCCATGGCCTGGTACTAAAGAAATTGCCATAAGATGTAATATTTTTTAAACTAACTGTTCAATGTTTATTGAGAAGTAAACCTACAAAATCAAATTTGAATTATTTTTTATATTATATTAAACCATATTTTATAGGTTAAAAATGGTTGATTGTTGGTGATTTCATAGGGCTCCATGTTAGCTATTCATTTGTCTTTCTGATGCTTTTTCCTATCTATTGCAATCCAAGTCAGAATTATATTTCATGTTTCCACAATTACATTGGGAGAGTCTTGTCTCAAGAAAGCCCCTTTTAACTTTGGTTTGTTCAATAGTCTCTGGAAAGTTACTTCATATTCTTGATTTAAAATTTTCCAGTTGCAATGCTTTGTGTTTATAGCAATAATGGTCTCCCCCCATCCCGCAAAAAGAAAAAAAAAGAATCACACAGAATTTACACACATTCTTTCAGGTAAGCAAACATTGTCTCAACTGAAGTGGAAATAAAGCCTTGTTAGTTAATAATAAAAAAAAAAAATCCCAGGTATTCACAATGAAGCCTGCCTATTTCCTTGAAACCCTCTGAAACGTGATAAATGACAGGTTCAAAGTGATATTAAGCAGCATCTTAAAGAGAGTTGTGGGAATGGAAATTTACAAAGGACATAACTGCTTCTCACCAGCCAATCATGGGTCGGTTTCTTTAATTAAGAGTGTGCACTGCTGTCATGGGTACACATGGGAGCAGCACCCTCTCCCTTCTTTCCAGGCAGCTATTTGGGATATGCTGCTCTCCCAGAAGCTGGCATTATTTATGGCCACAGCACATGCTTCAAGCAAATTCCAAATCATGGCTTATTTTAACTCAAGGATAAGGCTGTTTGGAAAGAGTACCATGAGCAAGAGGAATGTTACAAAAATTCCTGTGGAATGGCATTCGGTGTTAGAATAGGGCAGTGTTTCTCCATATCCATGACCCCATGGTTTTTTTCTAACTACGTAATCCCAGCCTCACCTGCAGATCTTCCGAGCTGGAATCTTTCAACAACACCCAAGAACCTCCATTTTCAAAAGCTGCCTCACCCTATTACCTGCTGCACCAGGCTGGCGTCATGTTGGGTTTTCTATGAGTTCACCCTCTTTAACTGGTAGCTCAACAAGCTCCCACTTACTTTGCTGGTATAGGTCTCTGGACGTTTATCTAAGGAGGTTTGGAAGAGCCTTTAGATGAGTCAGTTTAGCATGGTCAGGCCTTGGTTTCATCTGTTTTGCTCAGATTTAGGGACCTGCTTGGGGAAGATGACCTTCCACCACTTCTAACCACTCAGGCATACCAAGTCCTGTATGAACAGGTTCCAGAAGGGTCCCAAGCTGGCCATGGAGCCTATCATCCGGGCACAAGTGCAGAATGCTGGGCCCAGAAATCGCTTCGGCAGGATCATGCTGCTTAGTATCTAGTTAGAATGTTTTAAACAAAGCAAGTGTATTTTATGCAACTATCATACTGCAAAGGGTCCTCCAAAGCTGGAGGAAAACCTTTGGTTTGCCTCAGCAGTAGGACTCAGTGCCATTACTTTGGAGGGTTTTCATGGAAACTTTGGGACTAATTTGATTGGGATAATTGAACCTGACAGTGGACCCAGACTTAAACAACAGTAATCAAGCAGCAGAAGTGAGCACTGCCATCAACTACCTCATGCCTTCCACCTGCCCACCCACCCTCTCATTTCTGAGGCTCATATTTCTGTATGTTTCCCTTTGGTATTTCTTCCTTCTCACTTCTTTCTTTCTACCATTCCGTCAACACTTCCTTTTTCTCATTTCTGCTGTTCTATGAAATGCTAGATCTTTCAAAGTTATTTTTTATTCATTCAGTTTCAGGGTACGAGACAAACAAAAGGCAGGTCCACCTGTGCTAGTCTCCAGAGTGGAGTTGTGTGGTGGGATGTGTGTCTGAGTTTCTGGCATCTGGTCTGCATTCCCATTTTGCAGGGGTCAAAAGTAAAACTGAGTGTCTAAGTCTGGTTTAGAGATGCAGTCAGAGCTTGCACAATTATTTGTCTGGGTAATTTCAACAAGGGCAGCTTTAGCACTTGATTTATCCTGCTTGGTAATACACCCAATGTAGATGAACACAAGGACTATGGACCAGAGTTATTAGAATATACTCACAGTAAGAAGGGAGATTAAATTTTAGAAAGCAAGGTTATGGATCATCATGTCACAATGAAGCCCTGTTTGACTGTGTGTAGGCCAAGCCTCTTCTATATTAACTGTAAATTATTTCTCACAGTAGAACTATTTCATCAGCCTCCAAGTAAATAAATGAATAATGTACATTTCAGTGGGACTTTGCACACTGACATAAACAGGTATGGGAGTGTGTTCCTCTCAAACAGGAGGTAACATTTACAAGCACAAAAAAAAAAACCAAACAACAAACGTAGCCTGGGAACAAAAAATCCAAATGTAAACATGCAAAGCACAGATTCTCTTGCCTCCTCCCCCCACCATTCTTATGTCCCCATGAGCGTGTTTAGATGATAAAAGACACTGGTGTGATTACATGACAATTAAAGCTTACCATTGTTGTAGGAGTGAAAATTTCCTACAAATTTTATGTATTCATAAGTTGGAAATTCCTTTGGGTTCAAGCTGCCTCTGAGAAGATGGCAATAAAACTCTAAATCGTTGTCAGCTGTGTCATTAAGGGAGGAGGGAGAGAAAGAGAACATAAGCATTATATACCATAGACTAAACAAGTCATATCCTTGTGAAACTCACATGGCAAGAGTATTTTTCTCTTTGTGACTGACTTTTGGACATGGTTTTATAACCTTTGAACCATAGGCCTCCCCGCTCCATAGTTTACAGATATTTTTGCATTCCATACTTGGACCCAATTAATCTTCATTTGCTCACAGGTGTCCGTCGTTGGTTATGATGGCATTGATTAGTGCCTGCTATTTTCATGTGGTATATTAAAATAATACAGCTCATGTAGAGCTGCTGCATATAATTTAATCTTTTTTGTTTTTCTTTGAAGTAAAATCAGATGAACAATAGGATATTCTTTTTTCTATTTATATTTTATTAATTATGCTATTACAGTTGTCCCAAATTTTCCCACTTTTCATCCCTCCATCCAGCACCCCCACTCACTCAGGCAAACCCCCATCACTATTGTTCATGTTCATGGGTCATGCATATAAGTTTTTTGGCTACTCCATTTCCTAAACTGTACTTTACATCCCCATGGCTATTTTGTACTACCTATTTATACTTTTTCCTTTTTTATTGTTCAAATATATTGGTCTTCATTTTCCCACCACCACTTCATCCTGTCCCCTGCACCCCCACCTCCAACCCTCAATCTTTCCCCACTTTGACTTTGTACATGGGGCCTTTATACATGTTCCTCGAATTGACCCTTCCCCTTCTTTTCCCTATTACCCGCCTCTCTCCTTCCCTCTCATCACTGTTGTTTGTTTTTTTATTCAGTGTTGCTGGTTATATTTTTCTTGCTTGTTTGTTTTGTTGATTAGGTTCCACTTATAGGTGAGATCATATGGTGTTTGTCTTTTATCACCTGCCTTATTTTACTTAGCATAATGCTTTCTGGTTCCATCCATGCTGTTGTGAAGGATAGTAGGTCTTTCTTTCTGCTATGTAGTATTCTATTGTGCAAATATACCATAGTTTTTTGATCCACTCATTTATTGATGGGCAATTGGGTTGCCTCCAGCACTTAGCAATTGTAAATTGTGCTCCTGTGCACGTTGGGGGTGCATAGGTTTTTTTGAATCGGTGTTTGGGACTCTTAGGGTATAATCCCAGCAGTAGCATTGCTGTGTCAAAAGGCATTTCCATTTTTAGCTATTTGAGGAAATTCCAAACAGTTTTCCACAGTGGCTGCATCATTCTTCATTCTCAGCAACAGAGGACTAGGGTTCCCATTTCTCCACAACCACAGCAGCACTTGTTGTTTTTTGATTTGTTTATGATGGCCATTCTGACCAGTGTGAAGTGGTATCTCACTATGGCTTTAATTTGCATCTCAGTGATGGACAGTGAAGCTGAGCATCCTTTCGTATGTCTCTGGGCCCTATGTATGTCCTCCTTGGAGAAGTGTCTGTTCAGGTCTTTTGCCCATTTTTTAATTGGATTGTTTGTCTTCCTGCAGTAGGGTTGTGTGAGTTCTTCATAAATTTTGGATCTCAAACCCTTGTCAGAAGTATCATTGGCAAATATATTTTCCCATATGGTTGGTTCCCTTTTCATTTTGATGATGTTTTCTTTAGCCGTGTGGAATTTTCTTATTTTGATGAAGTCCCATTTGTTTATTTTTTCCTTTATGTCTCTTGCTCTAGGGGACATACTGGTGAAAATATTGCTGCATGGAATATCTGAGATTTTCCTGCCTATGTTCTCCTCTAGGACTTTAATGGTGTTGTGACTTATATTTAAGTCTTTTATCCATTTTGAGTTTTTTTTTTGTGTATGGTGTAAGTTGGTGGTCGAATTTTTGTTGTTGTTGTTGTTGTTGCATGTTGCTATCCAGATCTCTCAACACCATTTGTTGAAGAGGCTATTTTTACTACATTTTATGCTTCTGCCCCCCTTTGTCGAATATTAATTGACCATAGAGACATGGGTTTATTTCTGCTCTCTCTATTTTGGTCCATTGAACTATGTCTGTTCTTATGCAAGTACCAGACTCTTTTGATTATAGTGGACTTGTAACATACTTTCATGTCAGGTATTGTGATCCCTTCTACTTTGGCTTTCTTTCTCAAAATTGCTGCAGCTATTCAGCGTTTTTCATGTTTCTGTATAATGTTTTGAAATGTTTGTTCTATATCTGTGAAATATGTCAATAGTATTTTAATAAAGATTTTGCTTAATCTATAAATTGTTTTGGGTAGTATGGACATTTTGATGATGTTAATTGTTCAAATCAATGAACACAGAATATGCTTTCATTTATTTGTGTCTTCCTTAATTTCTTTATTCAGTGTTGTATAGTTTTCTGAGTATAGGTTTTTTACTTCCTTGGTTAAGTTTATTCCTAGGTACTTTATTTTTCTTGTTGTTAGAGCAAACATGATATCTTCCTGATTTCTGATTCTGATAATTCATTGTTAGTGAACAAAAATGCCATCAATTTCTGAATATTGACTTTGTATCCCAGTATTTCCCCAAATTCACCTGTTAGGGTGAGTAGCTTTTTGGTGGAGTCTACAGGGTTTCTGTGTATAGAGAGTATAATGGCACTTGTAAACAATGACAATATATGGCCTTCATTATGTTCAGGTATGCTCTCTCTACACCCAACACTTTGCTGAGTGTTTATGTCATAAATAGGTGCTGTACCTTATCAAATGCTTTTTCTGCATCTATTGATATGATCATGTGATTTTTGTCTTTCCCTTTGTTTATGTGTTGTATTACATTTATTGATTTGCAAATATTGTACCATCCTTGCATCCCTGGGATGAATCTCACATGATCATGGTGGATGATATTTTTAATGTTTTCTTGGATGAGGTTTGCCAATATTTTGTTGAGGATTTTAACATCTATGTTCATCAGTAATATTGGACAGTAGATTTCTTTCTCTGTTTTGTCTTTATCTGGTTTTGGGATTAGGATGATGCTGGCCTCATAAAAAGAGTTGGGGAGTCTTCCATCTTCTTGGATTTTTAGGAATAGTCTGAGAAAGACAGTGGTTAGCTCTTCCTTAAGTATTTTGTAAAATTCTCCTGTGAAACTGTATGGTCCAGGGTTAATGTGTGCGGGGAATTTTTAATTCACTGCTTCAATTTCACCAGCTGTTATCAGTCTGTTCAGGTTTTCTGCTTCTTCATTCAGTGATGGAGGATTACATTTTTCTAGAAATTTGTCCATTTCATCAAGGTTTTCAAATTTCTTGGTATATAGTTGTTTACAGTAATTTCTTAAAATCCTCTATTTCTGTGGTATCAGTTGTAATTTCTCCTCGTTCATATCTGATATTATTTATTTGGGTCCTCTCCCTTTTTTTCCTTGATGAATCTGCTTAAAGGCTTGTTGATATTGTGTATCTATTCAAAGAACCAGCTCCTGGATTTGTTGATCTTGAAATTGTTCTTTTAGTTTCTATGTCATTCAATTATGCTCTGATCTTGATTATTTCCTTCCTTCTACTTGCTCTGGGATTTCTTTCTTGTTGTTTCTCCAGTTCTTGAAGATGTAGGGTTAGGTCATTTATTTGACTATTTTATCATTTTTAGGTAGGCCTGTATTACTATGAACTTCCCTCTCAGGACTGCCTTCATTGTGTCCCATAGTTTTTGGACTGTCATGTGTTCATTTTCATTTGTTTCCAAAAACTTTTTGATTTCTTTTTTGATCTCCTTATCAACCAATTCATTGTTTAATAGCATGGCATTCACTCTCCATGAGTTTGAATATTTTTGAGTTTTTTCCTTGAGGTTGGTTTCTTGTTTCAAGCCCTTGTGTTTCAAGAAAATGCTTGCTATGATTTTAAAGTTCTTGAATTTCTTGAGGCTTGTTTTGTGTCCTAACATGTTGTGTAATTTTTAAAATATTCCATGTGCATTGGAAAAGAATGTGTATTTTGCTTGTTTGGGATGAAAGGTGCTATATATATATATCAGTTAAGTCCATGTGATCTAATGAGTCTTTCAGTTCCACAATATTCTTGTTCATGTTTTGTTTGAAAGATCTATCCATTGTTGACAGTGGGGTGTTAAAATCCCCTACTATCAGTGTGTTGTTATCTATATCTTTCTTGAAGTCCTCCAAGATTTTCCTTCTATATTTGGGTGCTCGTATGTTGGATGTAGATAAGTTTACAATGTTTATATGTCTTTTGATGGATTCTTCCTTTGAATATTATGAAGTATCTTTCTGTGTCTCTTTAAATGGCCTTTGTTTTGAAATCTATTTTGTGTGATATAAGTGTTGCTACCTCTGCTTTTTTTCCCGGTCCATTTGCTTGGAATTTTTTTCCATCCCTTCTATTTTAGCCTGTGTAGGTCCTTTGTTCTGAGGTGGGTCTCTTGTAGGCAGTATATGTGTGGGTCAATGTTTCTTATCCAGTCAGCTACACTATATCTTATGATTGGAGCATTTAATCCAGTTACATTTAAAGTTATTATTGATAGGTACTTATTTTTCATCTTTTTACCTGTGTTCCTCTCTTTCTCACTCATTTTCTTCATCTTCTTAAAGCAGTCTCTTTACCATATCTTGCAGTGCTGGTTTCGTGGAGGTGTATTCTTTTAGCCTTCTTTTGTCTGGGAAACTCCTTCTTTCACCTTCCATTTTAATTGAAAGCCTTTCTGGGCAGAGTGGTCTTGGTTGCAGTCCTTTGCTTTTTATTACTTGGAATATTTCTTGCCATTCCCTTCTGGCTTGTAGTGTTTCTGTTGAGAAGTCAGCTGCTAGTTGTATAGGGGCTACCTTGTATGATACTACCTGTTTCTCTCCTTCTGTCTTTAGGATTCCCTGTTTGTCTTTGACATTTGCCACTTTATTTATGATATGTCTTGGAGTGGCCTCATTGGGTTCCTCTTGAATGGAACCCTCTGTCCTTTTTGGACTTGTGTGACTTTTTCTTTCTTCAAATTAGAGAATTTTCCAGCATTACTTTTTCAAACAGGGTCTCTAATCCTTCCTCCCCTTCCTCTCCCTCTGGTATCCCAATTATATTGATATTATTATGTTTCATGTTGTCCTGCATTTCCCTAAATGTCTCTTTTTTCTTTTTGAGTCTTTTTTCATTTTCTTGCTCTTTCTGGGAGCTTTTTTCTACCTTGTTTTCCAGCTCACTGATTCATTCCTCTGCTTCATCTAGTCTGCTTTTGATTCCTTCTACTGGACTTTCCAAACAGAAATTGTATTCTTCACTTCCTCTTGTCTCTTATTTATAGTTTCTATATGTTTTTTCATGTTCATATAGTTTGCAGTAAATTCCTTGTAGTCTCTCTGTAGTTTTTGGTAATTCTCTGAGCTCATTGAGTTCATTGAGCTTCCTTAGAACCATTGTTTTCAACTCAGTATCTAATAGTTTACTTGCATCTATTTCATTGAGTTTTCTTTCTGGAGATTCCTCCTTTCCTTTTGATTAGGGGGTGTTTCTTTGTCTTCCCATTATTTGTGAGGCACTTCTCCTTTGCTTCTGCTTCTTAAATTGATCTGACTTGATTTTCTGACTTTGTGGTGTGAACTTCTATGGTAGGAGACCACTGTTTTTTCTTTCTGGATCTGCCTCTGATGATGTCAGATGTTTACCCTGTCTGACCTTGGGCAGTCTGTTCAAGATTTCCACAAATCTACTGTCTGTGGATGTCTCCTCCGGTTGTTAATCTAGTCACTCTGCACGCAGCAGTCAGGCTTAGGCAACACAAGGTGGGGTAGAGTCCCTCCTGTGGGCAGGGTTATTGGGTCCTCTCCAGCTGCTGCTGCTCAGGGGACTCGTCTGCCTGAGCCAGGTGGCTGCTGCTATATGGGGAAGGAGTCAACACCAGGATCCCGCCAGCTACTCTCTCAGTTCTCCCCCTAAAGCCTCCTTCCCCAGTTTCTCCTCAGTGTCTCTAGCCCGCTCTGCCCAAGCCTTTGCCGGAGACCAGGGTAATTGGCTGCAAATAAAAATTTATGTGTTGGCCCTTTAAATGGCTCTTTGCATTTCCGCTGCCCGTCTCTAGCAGAAAGAAACCTTGCTGTTTATCACAGATGGCTGTCATCTATGTACTTTTTGGGCTTTGGGGTTATAGGCTGGGGATCCCCGCTTATGGTTTAGACCACATTCTTCTCAGGGGGATCCAACTAACCATTTAAATATTCCTCTTGCGCTGTTGCCAGAGGGCGCCCAGCCTGCCTTCTCGAGTCTCTACTGCGCTCACCAGTCAGGTTGTGCTAACATTGGTTCTTCTATCTGTCCAAGGTTATAAGGCTTCTCTCTCACTATTGTTCAGTTGTTTGTTCCAGGTGATTTCTCTGCAATTTAGTTGTAATTCCAGATTGGTCCTGGGAGGAGGTCAGTTTGACTTCCATTCACTCCTCCACCATCTTGCCAGTCCCACAATAGGATAAATTCTTCATGGAAAATGGACTAAGGTTTGAATAAGCACAAGGCAGCTTCGCTACCTCCATCAATGAATCTTCTTCATTAAGGGACACATGGTTCAGCAGATACCAAGGCCAGCCTTTTAGTCAGGTTGCCAATTTTGACAAAAAATTAGAAACTCCATAAAAATTGCAAATATATAATGTATATAAATTATTCAATGACAATCTAGGGAGAAAAACTTGGATTTTTGACGTATTTACTGAGTTTTAGGTTGGTTATTTGGTATCATACAAATCTAGCATTATATTGTCCTCCAAAATAAGCAGATTGTTAACTGATTTTTGCACTGTTTATTAGTAAAAGACAGTTATGTGAAAAATCTCTTGCATTACATGTAAAACAAATTATTATTCTTAAGCTCTATGCTTTCAAATTTTCTACATAAGAGTTAAATGTCTTACATATTACAAACTTCAGTTTTAGCTTTAAACTTAAAATATACCTCTGAGGATCTTGGAAATGTTCTGAGTCACAAGAAAAATTATTCTAAAATTAGTCCTTCCTTCTTAATTTATTCTAACTCCTTTTCAAAACTAAAATTTTTATCTATATATGGTAGAACTGGTGAAGTTAAACTTACGTTTTAAGTACCCTGGGGAGGGACAATCTGTCACAAGCACATGGGAAGAGAGCATCTTATAAACTTCTGAATGCTCTTGTTCTGGAAGGAAGTTTAACAAATTCTGATCGGTGACATCTGACTGAAAAATAAAATAAAAAACTAAGGTATACACACAATGAAGATGGAAAACAAAAGCAAAAACAAACACTAAAAATTCATGACAATTCAGAACTATTATTGGAAATGAAAACTTCAATATCTGATTTTTGATGAAGACCTTTAATTTATCACTCTATAATTTTGAATTGTAACCTAAATTTTACTTGCTCAAATGCACATGTGCTATTGCCCATGAGGCCAGGCAAGAAGAAAGAATTAAGTCAGACAAACATGCAGAGTCATCCTCTTGCTTGAGGAGTTCCATCTGCTCACATCCTACCTTCTGGCCACGGCAGCATGGGCAGTGTGGGTAGAATGGAGAACCAGTGCAAGGTCAATCACTCATTAGAAGGGTTTGGAAAACTCAATGGGGTTCCTTTTCTGACTTTTATGCCTGTTTACTTCTTAAATGCCTATAGTTGAAAGAATTGCACTTTTTCTTCTAAGTACCTGAGCACTGTAGATACAAAATAAATACAATATCAAGTCTCGATAGCACTGACCAATAGAACTGTCTGTGATGAGGGAAATGATCCATATCTGTGCTGTCCATTATGGCAGCCACCAGCCACATGGCTACTGAGCACTTGAAATGTGGCTGGTATGACTGAAGGCTGATTATTTAATTGTATTTAATTTTAATTATTTGAATAGAAATGTAAATAGACACACTTGGCTATGGCTCCCATGTTGGATAGTGCAGGTGGAAACTGCCAGTGGATAAAGAGGACAGGTATGTATATATCATTTTCTTGGACTCCCTCAGGAAACTCACCTGCTCTTGCAGCTTCAAACATGATCTGTATACACTTGTAAATGTGTGTATCTAGGCAACTGCCCCTCAGATACCCTCTGGGGACTAAAGACTCACACAGATCCCCAATATCATCATTCTTTTGCACCCATACTTCTTCTCTCCCAACCTCATCTTCATATCCAGACAAGGTCCAAGTCCTGTGAGAATTTCTTCCCTCCAATTTTCTTAGATCCCCTCACCTTTCCAAACAGATGGCCTCTGTTCTAGTCCAGACCACCAGCATTGTTTGTCTGGGGAAAGAAGTGGCCAAGCTGGTCTTCCCACTCCAAATTCTGTCCTTGTCCAATTTGTTTTCCAAAAGGAGCCTGTAGCAGACCTAGTAACCAACATGCTTAAAACCATCCATTGGCTTCCAGTTGTTCCTGGGATGAAGCCCAACTATCTCAATTCACTGTAGGGCCCCCACACCTGCCAACTATCTGCTCTGCTGTGGCACTTCTGCCTGCCATACCTTCCTTTTCTGTAGTTTGTCAGGTTTGCTCTTCTGTCAGGGCCTTCCTGCAGACTGTACCTCCTGGTTGGAATGCTCTTCACCTTCTCTTCTTGTTCAGCTAACTCCTGTGTACCCCTCAGGTCCCTGCTTTGAATTCATGTCCTCTGAGAAGGACCCCTCATTTAGAATGGTGCCCTCACCCTGGCTTCTCTACCTTTTGCACCCACCTACTACATTTGCTAGCCGATCCTGCAATTGTCAGCTGTCTTTGTCTAAATGGGAAGACCTGTGAGGGACTGGCCTCATTGTAGCAATGCAGATGACAGCCAAGAGGTTGGATTAGAAGACAGGCTCTGCCCCCTCAAAGCTGCACTTAGCTCTTCTACAAGATAAGGAAGCTGACATGAAATGAGCTGACATGAAATTCAATAAGAAGTAAGGGGACAACAATGAACAAAGCCCAGAGCGAGTGGAAGGAAGGGAATAATCAAGATCAGAGCAGAATTAAATGACAGAGGAAAAAATAACAATTCAAAGGATCAATAAATCTAGGAATTGGTTCTCTCAAAAGATAAAACAAATTGTCAAGCCTTTAACCAGACTCATCAAGAAAAAAAGAGAGAGGACCCAAATAAATAAAATCAGAAATGAAAGAGGAGAAATTACAACTGATACCACAGAAATACAAAGGATTGTAAGAAATTACTACAAACAACTATATACCAACAAATTTGAAAACCTGGGTAAAATGGACAAACTTCTAGAAACACATAACCCTCCAAAACTGAATCAAGAAGAGCAGAAAGCCTGAACAGACAGATAACAGCTGGTGAAATTGAAGCAGTAATAAAAAAAACTCCGAGCACACAAAAAACCTTGACTAAATGGTTTCACAGGAGAGTTTTACAAAACATTTAAGGAAGAGCTGATCTCTATCCTTCTCAGATTATTCTAAAAAATCCAAGAAGACAGAAGACTCCCCAACTCTTTTTATGAGGCCAGCATCATCCTAATCCCAAAACCAGATAAAAACACAACCAAGAAAGAAAACTACAGGCCAATATCGCTGATGAACATAGACGTTAAAATCCTCAGCAAAATATTGGCAAACTTCATCCAGCAATACATTAAAAATATCATCCACCATGGTCAAGTGAGATTCATCCCAGGGATGCAAGGATGGTACAATATTTGCAAATTAATAAATGTAATACATCACATAAACAAAGGGAAAGACAAAAATCATATGATCATATCAATAGATGCAGAAAAAGCATTTGATAAGGTACAGCACCTATTCATGACATAAACATTCAGCAAAGTGGGTGTAGAGAGAGCATACCTCACCATAATGAAGCCATTTATGAGAACCCTACAGCCAATATCATACTCAACAGGAAAAAATGAAAAGCTTTCCCACTAAGATCATGAAAAAAACAAGGTTGTCCACTTTCACCACTTCAATTCAACATAGCATTGGAAGTTCTAGCCACAGCAATCAGACAAGAAAAAGAAATAAAAGGCATCCAAATTGGAGAAAGGAGGAAGTAAAGCTTTCTCTATTTACAGAAGACGTGATAGTGTGCATAGAAAACCCTATGGAGTCTACAAAAATCCTACTCAACCTAATAAATAAATCTGGCAGAATAGTGGGATACAAAGTCAACACTGAGAAACCAAAAGCATTTTTCTATACCAACAAGAAAATATCATAATCAGAAATCAGGGGAAAAAATCCCATTTGCTCTAGCAACAAGAAAAATAAAGTACCTAGGAATAAACTTAACCGAGGAGGTAACAGCTCTATACTTAGAAAACTACACAACACTGAAGAAAGAAATTAAGGAAGACACAAATAAATGGAAGCACATAACATGCTCATGGATTGGAAGAATTAACATTATCAAAATGTCCGTACTTCCCAAATCAATTTATAGAATCAATGAAATCACTATCAAAACAGCAATGACATATTTCATGACATAGAACAAACATTTCAAAACTTTATATGGAACCATAAATGACCCAGCATAGCTGCAGCAATCCTGAGGAAGAATAAAGTAGGAAGGATCGTAATACTGGACCTCAAACTCTATTACAAGGCCATTGTAATCAAAACAGTCTGGTACTGCCATAAGAACAGACACAAAGATAAATGGACCATAATAGAGAGCCCAGAAATAAACCCATTTCTCTATGGTATATTAATATTCAACAAAGGGGGCAGGAGCATAAAATGGAATAAAAATAGCCTCTTCAGCAAATGGTGTTGGGAGAGCTGGGCAGCTACATGCAAGAAAATGAAATTAAACCACCAATTTAACACCATAAACAAAAAAAAACTCAATAGGGATAAAATACTTAAATATAGGTTGTGACACCATAAAATTCTTGTGGAGGACATAGACAAGAAAATTTCAGATATTCCACACACCAATATTTTCACTGATACGTCCCCTAGAGCAAGGGATATAAAGGAAAGAATAAACAAATTGGACTACATCAAATTAAAAAGCTTCTACATGGCTAAAGAAAACATCAGCAAAATGAAAAGGGAACCAGCCACATGGGAAAACATATTTGCCAAGGATAACTCGGGCAAGGGTTTGATCTCCAAAATATATAAAGAACTCACACAACTCCACACCAGGAAGACAAACAATGTAATTAGAAAATTGCCTTCAGGGAAAAGGACCTGAACAGATACTTCTCCAAGGAGGACATACACATGGCTAAAACACAGGAAAGGATGCTCAACATAACTCTTCGTGAGAGAGATGCAAACTAAAATCACAAAGAGATACCACTTCACACCGGTCAGAATGGCTATCATAAATAAATCAAGAAACAACAAGTGCTGTTGAGGTTGTGGAGAATAGGGAACCCTAGGACACTGTTGGTGTGAATGTGGACTGCTGTAGCCATGGTGGAACACAGTTTGGAATTTCCTCAAGAAACTAAAAATTGAATTGTCTTTTGACCTAGCAATTCCTGTTCTGGGACTATACCCTAAGAATCCTGAAACACCAATTCAAAAGAACCTATGTACCTCAGTGTTCATAGCAGAGTTATTTACAATAGGCAAGTGCTGGAAACAGCCTAAGTGCCCATCAGCAAATGAATGGATAAAAAACCTGTGGTACATTTACAGAATGGAATACTATGCAGCAGGAAGGAAGATGGAATTTCTACCCTTCAGAATAGCATGGATGGAACTGGAGAACATTATGCTAAGTGAAATAAGGCAGGTGGTGAAAGACAAACACCATATGATCTCACCTGTAAGTGGAACATAATCAACAAAACAAACAAGCAAGTATAATCAAACCAGAGACATGGAAATAAAGAACAAACTGACAGTGACCAGAGGGGCAGGGGGAGGGGGATCACAAGGGGAAGGGTCAAGTCAAGGAACATGTATAAGGACCCATGGACAAAGACAACAGTATGGGGAGGATTGAATGTGGGATGTGGAGGATGCATAGGGCAGGAGAAAGTAATGGGGGGAAAATAGGGACAACTGTAATTGAACAACAATAAAAAAATTTTAAAAAGAAAGAAATGAGCTGACTTGAGGATGTTGCTGATAAAAGGGCACACACCAAACATTCAGTAAATGCTAGGTCTGATTACATATTTAATGACCATTTACAAAATGACTCGATGTTGTCCTGTTCATTCATGTGTTGACACATGCTCACTGCCTGCCTCACTACAGAGGGAGCTCCAG